CCCATTACTAAAGAAATTTTGGGGATTCTGATCAAAAAACCGCGTCAAGTGGTTTTGGCAGTCCTCTTATGATGTTAACCTGACACTGTCTAAAGAATTATGAAGAGACCAAAACAGGTGGAAATCTGAAGGTGCAAGGTCAGGATTATACTGCGGATGCATTAACACGTCCCAATCAAACCCTCTTACTTTTTGCTGATTGACTAAAGATGTGTGAGGTCTAGCGTTTTCATGATAAAAAACACACCCCTACTGTTGATTCATTCCGGCCGCTTTCTCTCAACTACTTGCTTTATTTTCATCAGTTGTTCGCAGTAGAGTTCAGAATCGAGGGTCCTACCTAGCGGTTACAGCTTATCTTCTATACTTATAATAAATCTGTAGAGAGGTCAATTCTGTACATGAAATATATTTTCAAAATAACTATCAGGGAGTGATTAGTGATCGATACTGATGCCAAAAATGCAATCAGTAAAATTTTTGTCTGTCTGTCTGTCTGTCTGTGTGTATGTTCCTTATAGAAACAAAAACTACTCGACGGATTTTAACGAAACTTGGTACAATTATTCTTCATACTCCTGGGCAGGTTATAGTATACTTTTCATCACGCTACAATCATTAGCAGCAGAGTAGTGAAGGGAAATGTTAAGAAAACGGGAGAAGTTACTCCATTTTTTAAGCTTCCGTCGCGTGTGCAGCCTTAATGGTTAAAGTTACATAGAAATCATGTATAACGGAAATATTCTACATAAAATTGTCTAAAAAATATCCCGCAACAGCATATGTCTATCTTTTATGGTTGACTCACAATAACACGTGTAATTATATAAATAGTCATTGTTTATAGCACAAGCCTGAGAACAAAAACTATAGTTTACACTACAGCTCTACACCGAAGCGAAGCGAGGGCGGGCCACTAGTAATGAATAATGCCCTTCCAATGTCACCATACACACAGCACCGCCTTTTTGCAAGTTAACCCGGGTTTCGCCAGAGTCTGTGAATCCTGACCGGCCTTTGACCACAACATTTTTCGCACGTTCTTGTCGTACGTTATATAATTTTCATTACCAGTTATCATTTTCTTTAAAAATGGTTTGATTTCATTCGTAGTAAAGAATCACAAATGAGTACACGGTTCATTAGGTTTCTTTCAGTAAGCTCGTGGGGCACCCTAATTCGACCTTTTTTTGTATCCAACTTTTTTCAAATGCGCCAAAACTGTTTTGTGGTAAATTTCCAGCTCTTCAACTACGTCGTAACTGACGATATGCCGATCTTGCTCCACTTTTTAAAATATGGCATCCATTTAATCCATTAAAGGGCAACCACAGCGACGTGCATCTTTGTCATCAACATTTTCGGATTGAAAACGCTTAGGTATACCTTTGTGCTACTTTCACAGACACTGCACTAGCATCACCTTTTATCTTATAAAACGAACTCTTGTTCTTTTTTTTATAAATTATATCTAATACTTGGAAAAAAACGATCAAGGTGAAAAAAGGAAAATGTAAAATCAACCTTATGACCCCAAAATTTTAAAATATTTTTACCAGTCATTGGCCAGCGAGTTACTTAGTATTGTATTAACCGACCTATTTTAAAATAAGATTTCACGCCTCAAGGGAGGCTATATTTACCGAGACGGATTTTACGCGCTGGCCCCTTATCTATAGAATTTTTGATTGAAGATTTTTTTTTATAAATGGCTTTGCACGGCAGGTGCATTAAGCCAATGTCAAGTGTTTAAATGTTTACAAATACTATAGCACTCGTGGTCAAAGTAATAAATCAAGTCAAAGTAAGTGGCAGTCAAGTCAATCCCCCTTTGTTGTTGGGGATTTACAAATACCAATACAAATACAAGTGCTTTATTTCCATACCTTATTATTACATTATATAAACTATTAAATATGAATTGAAAAAGGAATAGGCATAGCGCAGCTGGTTTTAAGCCTACCCATCGTCAAATTTTTGTGGTTAGTTATACAATTTATACTGGATTTACTGGAACCTCCCCGTGGACTTCTTGAGGGAACGTCGAAAGACACTTTCCGCTATTTTGTTTCACTTGCCAACACTTGTGCATGTTCCCGAACACTTAGTGGTTAAGAATCCACCATTATTAGACACTAACATCCGCCACAACACAATTTCTAACAAAAAAAACAAAACTGCTAAAGTGACGCTTCTTGATCCCGCCAAAAAGTCCGATTGAAGAATTTCTTCGTTAGATTCACTCATCTTGACAGTAAGAAAAACAAATGAAAATCACTATTTTTTTTAATTTTAATTTGGAAATATCTTCTTTAAAATTTAAACTTTTTAATGATACCAAAACCAGCCAGATACGTAAATGGTATAGCCAAAGAGATTTTGTTACAAGTTCATACATACTATAATACAAAAAGACTTTTTCCCCAACCTACTATTTTGTGGGACTGCATTGAAAGAAAAAAAGAGAGCTTGTCTTTCAGTTAAGTCATTTAGAAAGTGATGCAATAAAATTATTATTTTTAACGTTAATCTATAAATTATATATAGTTTTACGACACTGAAATCTAATCTGCTGTCATACGAGTAAAGATAAAATCCTTTTTGTAAAACCCTGAACTCATTTCTCTATCTTTGATAAAAGGAACTTGATAACTGAAATTGAACAGCACAAACATTAACGTCCATTATTCGCAAGTAAAAAAGTTTTCATAAACTACTTACCTAGCTATACCTATTTTTCATAATTTAATGATAAAAATAAAACTATAAAGTTTAAACTAATTTAGTAATCAATAAAAAATATATTAATGTGTCTCGATTGATTAATATACAAACTATAATAATTGGCAGCTCTTACTTCGTTTCCAGGATTCATTCTGAACATCTATCTCCTATTACTTTTGATGGCACTATTATTCCTTGGTCAAGCACTGTAAAAAATCTTGGTGTTGTCTTTGATCAGTGTTTTTCTTGGAGACCTCAGGTGGAGGCGACCATAAAGAAAATTTTTGCTACATACCTACAACTCGCTCAACCGATTACGTAACTGCCGACCACCACCAATATTACTCTGGCGCAGAATCTTTTACTGACTATCATTGACTACGCTGATGCCTGTTATACAGATCTTACTGAAGAACTCTTAAATAAGCTACAGCGTCTGCACAACTTATGTATCCGATTTATTTTCAACCTTCGTAAATATGACCACTTCTCATACTTCCGTTCTAAACTTAACTGGCTTCCTATTCGCCGGCGCAGGGACTTACACACTCTTACGCTTCTTTACTCCGTACTTATCTTACCCACTTCTCCTCATTACTTAAAAGAACGCTTCTCGTTTCTCTCTTCTACTTCACAGCGCACTTTGCGATCTTCTTCTAACCTATCTCTTGAAATTCCAAGTCATTCTACTGAATTCGTTTCTTATTCCCCTTCTCTGTGCATTCTCTACGTCTATGGAACTCATTGCCAGAAACTATTCGAAGGGCTCGCACTCTAAAATCGTTTAGGGATCAAGTTCGGAGTTATTGAAGTTATACTTCTTTAGGCGCGTTATGAAAAAATGATGAGAGTGAAATTTTAACATGCGCGCGCATCACTGTAACACAAAATTTTAACATAATGAAGTTGGCTTTAGCGACCAACTTCATGCGTTACTTTTGTGTTTACCGCACATTAAGAAAATCTACCAACAAAATAGAAATAGAATCTCTATTTAGTGGGTGCTAACGACTGCATTGTGAAGGCCTATCAAAAGTATTTATTCATCTGGAACAACGGAACCAAAGCGCGATTCAGGAGACTATAGCGCCATCTCTTAACCATTGGTGTTGTAGAACCAAAAACCACATTTTTATTTTTTGTAATAAAGTAACAAAAAGTATTTATTAATCTGGAACAACGGAACCAAAGCGCGATTCAGGAGACTACAGCGCCATCTCTCGACCATTGGTGTAGTTGAACCAAAAACCACATCTTTATTTTTTGTAATAAAGTAACAGTTATAGGTATTCATATTTATAATATTTATCCACATGTTTCTAGTTTGTATATTCGGAATACGTGTTTGAGTTTCATACAAGTGCAAATCACATGTGTTCTAATAAATTATATTCAGTAGCCATTTTAATTGAATATTTTGATTATTTATTTATTTTTTTCAAATTAAAACTGAACTTTATTGACTTCGTCCTTTTCCAGACTTTTTATTAATTTATTGTAATTAATTATTTGCATGCAATTAAAAACTAATTTTAAACGATGCCAAAGAAGGATAACTTCTCACGCGCCTACATAATAAGTACACGCACCCATTTTTTTATGTAAAAAAAACCTTCATCCTCTCTCTTTCCTTCCTTAGATATATCTGTTTTCCTGCCATTGATATTATTATTATTTACTATAACACCCCTCCTTTTCTCCTTCATATTTATTTATCTTTCTATTATGGGTTGCCTGGAAGACATTGCTGCCTAGCAATAAGGCCGCCTATATTGTGTACGTTCTATCTATCGTGTTTTTAATTCACTTGTGTGTCATATATGGTATACTACAATAAAGATTATTATTATTATATTTCAATGCTGTCAATGTGTCACAAAAAAAATAAGTTAATGAACAAACAACATTGAAGTAGGTACTCTAGAGGCTTAACGAGTTTAATATTTTAGATTAAAACTAAATAAAATAAATTAATTAATCAGATTGTAGCCTTATGATAAATATGTAAGAAACATTTTAAAAATAATATTTATTCAAAAGATTTACTTATCTTAGAGTGGCTTATAAAACCATAAATTTACAGGTTTCAGACAACTTTGAATAAAAAATTTCCACTCACCTGAATAAATAAATAATTTAGAGTAATTCGTATCCACTAACTGATTTTTAGGCCTTCCCTGATGAAAATAATTTGAAAACATTTCCATTTCATTAATTATTATTGTCAGGTCACCTGACTTATTATTCTTGTTGTATTAAATTTCTTTTCTTTTCAGGTCACGAAGATCGTCAGGAGCAGCCACCGCTGTAACACCACAACCAAAGAATTTCAATCCGGGAGGTGAGTAGTTTTGATATTCTCATTATCTTTTTTCGGGACGAGCTTTTAAATAAATAAAGAAGTTTGATATGACCTATTGGTAAAAACCTAAGATATTTTCAAGAAATCTCAAGTTTTTTTTTTATAACTGGTGCTTGTGCATAGTTTAAAAGATATTTAGAAATCCAAACATCAATTCCAATTTAATCTAAAAGATAAGTCAACGGGTCAAGGATATTTCTTTTTGATATACTTAGTGTACGAAGAATTACAATAGTGCACGAGTGATGTTTCGTCGTTACATTATTTTGCACGAAATTACTTATCCCGAAATATAAGGTCTTAAGCATCACCCGATTAAATTATATTTGAATGAAGAGACAAAATAATTGACCTTTTTAGTGAACAATAAGTAACCACATTTGTTGCAAAGTGAATTTCCGTTTGCTACGTAGTGGGTATACCCACAACGTAGTTGAGAATTATATTCCTTACATTGATGTAAGTGGTGGCGTTAACTGAACAAAATGCCCGGAAAAAATATTGTTTTCCTCGCTGTTTTGACATTGTGTTAACAATTACATGTACATTAATTCAATATTGTATACGCCGAAGATTTATAGACAAACGGCAATTTTATAAGCATAACAGTTGTAAAATTAGATATCTGGTAATGATAAGTATTATGCTTTAAGTAATTTATTCTATTATGTGCCTGATCCCAATCCATAGACTGGCAATACACAAGTACTCACTGCCGTAAAACCTAATTAAAAACCGGCAAAGTGCGTGTCGTGCCACGCGTAATGTAGAGTTCCGTGGATATTTTATTGCGGTTTTTTTTTAATATTTTTTTAAGATTTTGTTTTTCCATGCAAGGTTTTACGCGTTATAAAGAAGCAATTAATTCATCTAAGATACTATTAATGTGTTCTTCTTAGTAATTATTATATGGTAAGATTTTTTTTAATACATAACTTGTACAACTATAATTCTTTAACTAAAGGGCCTATCATAAAGATCATGAAAAGAACTATTATCGTGATTTTTTTCAGATTTTTCAAACTAATAGCAAGCTTTTAGTGTATGTGTTCCACTCCGTCCCTCACTAAACCTTACGCCTACAAAAATTATAAAAAAACAATAAAATAAAAATGATTTATTTCTTTACCATACATTTGGTTACATAAAGTAGCACTTTAAAGTTCAATATTTGATAAACGTCTTAACAACCTCTTAGTCATTTTAAAATACCTATTCAACCGCACGATGGGTAGATAATGAAAAAACTTCAAGTAAGGGGAGCTTCTTTAAAAAAAATATTAAATTTTATTATACTACTTTGTCGAAGTGATTGATACACATACTTTCACAAAATTACAGCTCTCTAGTGCCAACAGTCTCCAAGCAAAACCGCGGACGGACAGACAGACGGACATGTCGATACTATAAGGGTTTCTGGTCGGGACCACGTAACCTAAAAATTAATCTGTTTTTTTACTCTGTATATCCTATAGCAAAGTGGTCAAAAAGATTACCTCAAAAATTGAGCACCTTTCCTTCTCCAAGTTTGCCTTTTTCTATTCTAAAATTAGAATGTCATTGTAGGTAGCCAATACATATATAGTTTATAGTCATATAAATAGTTTCAGAATCAGCTGTAGCTGTATGTAATTAAAGCGCTCCTCTCTGACCACATTAATGAAGACCTTTTGGCAATGTTGTGTTTCTGTCGGTGAGTAAGGTTTTCAATGGCAACGCAGGACTAGATTGAATAAACAGGGTAGAAAACGCGATGTATACTCTCGCTATCCTCAATTCGAGCGCCATACACGTAAAGATCAAATCCATCTGGATTTCGTAGAGGCAGATGTCACATGCAAACACGCATATGATATGAATATAGAATTGTTAAATGTGAGCTTTCAGACGAGTTCGACCAGGAGAATCTACCTAGAATATAGAAATATAGTGAACGTCTCCAATTAGGCCATGCCTCAACCTATAGATATTTGTACTGCCGCTAACATTGGTACATACGTTTTTCCCTAACCACCAATCAGGCGACTATTATATCTGTTTACATTACTTCTATAATAAATGAATAATAAATATCATCATTTGTAAGTAATGCATTTAACTTTTAGAGATTTTCATAATACTACATTTTTGATTATATAGTGCATACAGCGCAATGCTAACAAAACAATAGGTAATGAAAACTGTAATCAGGGCCAACCATAATGACAATTACTCACACGTTATGAGTATTGTTTACAGTTTTATCAAATACGTAATTAGTTTTCCAGCGAAGATATCCCGCCGCTTCGCAGAAGAAATCTTATGTGATCGCGATACGATGGACGAATCGCACGTGTCTAGCCGATTTGTTGACAATTTCATATCTTTAAAGTCAAACAGGTAAAAGATAAAACGATTCTTATTCCGTCGTTTTTTTCGATTTAAAATTTATGATACAAACATGGAGAAAATTCGTGGAAACAATCGTTGCCAAACTGGGTATAACATTTTTTATTGATTCCTGAAATGCTATCACATGATTTTTGAAGAATCCGTCTAGTTAATCAGTCAAGTCATTTGTGTAATATTGTTAGGTTCTTAATAATTTTAAGTGCAGGATTTTTGCAAAAGTTTTGGAACCAAATCAATAGAGTTATTGGCAAACTCTATTTAAGAAATTTAACAGTTCGGATAAGCTATTACATTTATTGTTCAATTTACAGGCCTTATTATAACAGTAAATCCTAAAAGGTTCAAGGAACTTGGTTTTTTGTTGCTTATTAGTTAATTATAGAGCTACAAAGTAGTGGGCTTCATTCCAAAAGCAACCTAGAAAGCTTTTGTTGTCTATACCAATATTATAAAGAGAAAATTAAAAAATCTGATTAAAAGAATATGATGGTGTGAAATAGAGGACATAAATATCTACAAAAAAGTCCGTGACACTATATGTCTAACTATTACAGTTATGCCATAAATAAAGTTCCCCTGCGGTTTAACCCGCGTTAATTTAAAGAAAAAGGGGAGTCAAAGTTACAAGATGGGCATAATATGCTGTTGCGGACATATTTATAGAACTTTTAAGGGGTAACAATTCCTTCATATATGATTTTTGTGTAACTTTTATCATTTACGCAGCGCACGCAACGGATTTTACATACATCAATGATCAGCTCCTACTGGTCGCAACGTGGTGTTATATAGCCTTCAACCTTCCACAGTGAAAGCTACACTATCTAACACAAAAATATTTTTTCAATTCCGACCATTAGTTCCTGCGATTTGCACGTTTCACCAAAAAAATGGTGCATTCGGTACAACGGGTTCTAAAGTACGCAACAAAATTTTCACTATGAGTTAAATAAGTTTTCATGGCAGGTTTATAATTAAAGAAATTCATGGTGTATTATACAAGCCTGAGCACAAAAACTATAGTCTAGCTTCACTACAGCTCTACACCGAAGCGAAGCGAGGGCGGGCCACTAGTAATTCATATACCTGTAATAATCGTGAAACCTCTAAATTTAAAAAATAATTGGAATATACCTGATGGTTTTCTTGAAACAATATTGATCCGATCGTCATTTCCTGTTCGTGTCGGATCCCAAATCTTCACTCAAGCATCCTTTCAGCCTACTTAATGGTAGCATTGAAAATTCAATAATAACGAGGGAGCCGTGTCCGCCATTTCGCTTAAAAAGCATGACCTTAAAGAAGTTAAGAAAACGCGAAACTCAATTGCCGTTAAATTGTATTTGAGTATTTTATTACAATACTGTAATTCCACCATGAATAGAATAAAATCAGGTTTATAATGAATTGCATATTTAATTAACTTTTATAACAACAGCGTGATGTTCTTTCTCATTGTTAGTTGAAGTTTATTGACCGTCCAAAGCAGCACAGCTACTACGCTGTGAGGAATCTTTTGATATGGGTACTGTATTGTAAGATCTGTTAATGAAAATAGGGGTCAAAATCAAAACTTTTACTTGTCTAATCTTTGACGGCGAGGGAGCCACTCATTGAAAGCACGGAGTCGCTGCTGCTTCCTACATCCACATCCGTTCTCATCTGCGCGCGCCACATTTACTTTGCTAAATGTAATGAATATTTCAAAGAAATCTTAATGTAAACCGTACTAGTACGGTATCGCTGGAAAAGGCACAGGGGAAATGTGGGAAGCACACATTGTTACCGCCTTCTTGACAGCGAACTAGTTATTCGGGTGCGCTAAACTTTAAGTATCTCGTCTCATATACTATTTAACGGACCAATTAACAAAACACGCTCGTTGTTCAAAATAAAATTGCATAATAATTGATTCTTATCTAATTTGACCTTTATTATCTATTTCTACCTAAAGATGTAGGAGATTCTCGGAAATGATTCCGAAGCTTCTTAATCCGATTAATCTACGAACCAATATTAGCATGTTAAACAAATTCCCAGTGAAATAATCCTTTTCTATGCTGCAAACCTTAGAGAGCAGATTCAATTAGATTAAGTATTTAAATTAAATAATGTTATTAGAAGAATTTCCACGCGAGATGTCCGGTCCATCATTTTATTTCTCTATGCTAAGCAACAAATTCAAAAATATACCTATCAATAATTGAATATTATACTTTGTGTTTGTAGATTACATTCCTCTTTTTTTATAAGCTTTTCCTGTATAAAATTTCGTCATCATTTGTTATTGCGTTGGTACATAATATGGTAATTCCGTGAACTAAGTGAGTTTCCCTATTATCCATTCAACGCATTACTTTGATTAGCGAACTGTCGTCTCTTCTATTATTGCGATGATAACAGTGAAATGTTTTGACGTTTGACTCGTAAACAGATCAATCTTTTTTTTTCTAAATAACGTAAGAAATTTGTTTATGGTTTGCACACGAAATTATTGTTTAAGGATAAAATCACTAATTTGTGAAGTGATGGGCATTGTTGTTGAAGTGAAGAGTCCAATGACAATGAATGATATGTCATTTTTAAATCAAAGTTAACATTCAGGAATGAATGAGAAATATTTTGAAAGCCGACTTCAGAGATCCATAGATGAAGAGTGACTCAAGAATCGAATAATTTAAATGACTTATTTAAACTTGATGAGACCCTCACTCATTATATTAACAACTAGCAACCGTCCGCGACTTCGTACGCGTGGAGTTAGTAAGAAATAAAGGTTCACAGCTCGTTCCCCGTAGGTGATAGCGTGATAATATGTAGCCTATGTTGACGCGACTTCTTAATAATATTCATACCATATTTGAACTAAATCCATGCAGTACTTTTTGAGTTTATCCCGGACATACATACAGATAGACAAACAGACAAAAATTAAAAAAACCATATTTTTAGCTTCGGTATCGATTGCAGTTCACACCCCAAGTATTCTTTTAAAAAAATATTCAATGTACAGTTTTGACTTTCCTACCATTTTATTATATGTACACATATACAGATATGAAAAGAATAACAGCTGTGAAACCAATAAACAGCTAAACGTTAAATTCATACCTATAGCCCTATTAGATAGCTAGTCTCACCTCGATAAATAGTCAGTAACTATATGATTGAATGTTTTTTTACTGAGTCATTTCCATAAAAACTTGGCCCATAAAAAATAAAGTAGTCCTTCAAAAAATTATCTTATTTTGTTATTCTCGTGGATTACTTAATGGAAAATCTGGCTGTGATCGTGAGGAACTAATTCCAGTATTGTGGACTTGTGGTCCTAATGAGTTAACAGTACTGCGACAATGACAGTTCAATGTTCGTGTACATGAGTACTGTCATCGGACACTTTTGACGGAATAATTGCCAATCGTGAAGTGTTTTATTGGGTTTTCTTATCGAAAATCATTTGATGTCTCAACGCTGTGCTGATGTGTTCGTGAGTTTGTAAAGAAGACGTTTTTAATGTAGTATGTTTTAACTACAATTTTCAGAAGAGTGAGAAGTACGTATTATTCGGTAAATTTTTATAAGAAGATTTTTTTAATCAAAATCTACAAATTCATAGAAGTTTGAAAAGAAATAATTGAATTGTTTATTTTTGAAGTGAAAACTTTGTTGATTGTTTTGTGTGCTACATTATTCTAGTAGTAAGTCTTTTTTCATGACTAATCCTTGTTATATAAACAGTATGAATAGTTTTTGCTTATTGCATAGATTGAGAGTCAATAAAGGAAAGGGTGTAAATTTATTCTCGCAGAGAAAGCTTACTGGAAAATAGCAAAGACTCGAGTAATACTACGAGTATGTCTAGTGCGGTATTATTTCTACTTAGCTGTAAGCTGTAGGAGTATTAACCCAAAAATTTTTGGCCCACAAAACTAATGCAGACAATGTACAAATTACAAAGGCAGCAGCATGTCTAGTCTGTTACAGTAAACTTTTCTGTCCTGTCTGTTTCTGTACCTGGGAAGAGAGTCAATGTACAGCTTAGTTAAGCTAACTTTTTTACATTATCAAAACAGATTTTTATGCAGGTTCAGAGAATAACGTTTAACATTAATAATCAACACTCCATGAATTCCCTGTCGCAAACTTGCCAGACCCTCCCCCCTCCCCCTCTCCCTAACACTTAATTTAAATAAATAGCGATACTCTACATTAGGTTTTAATATACAAAAAAACAATTCATTCTAATTTTTTAACGTATAAAATATATTATTTGTAGTTACTAATAACTTTAATAAAATATTCGCTTTAATATAATAAACTAATATTCAATTATAGATGTCTGCTACGGAAATGAAAAGAAATCTAAGATGATCCAAAGCTTACAACCAACTACTCGTTGATCAAGAATATGATTAAAATCTTTCCAACATGTCTTTCTGATATAAGTGGAAGCTATAAAAATATTGTACATTTGGAGCGTGGCAGATACTAATGAGACGCGGAGTCGGCCTGCCCTGGATCCGATTCAGAGTGCTCACAACCGGTTCCAGGGAAATATGAAAATAGGCCACTAGGGTATCTTACAGAGGAGCGTCTAACACGCTGCGGTCCGAACGCCTGTTACTTTTTGTTTCAATTTAGGATATATTGGAATTGATCAACAAATAAAATGTCAAAGGTATAATCAATACCAACTGCGTCTTTAAAATGTGGCTATGAACGATATATCTACAAAAATATATTTGTCTTTCCTAAGGTCTTGTTACTTTTAGGCTCTGCCAACCCAGTTAGAAATATATGGCATGAATATATTATATATCTATGTGTTCACGGTGGAATAAGAAATTTCAATCTAAGCAAGTTTCTAGTCTACTTCTTTGTTTCAAATTTTTTGATGACAATAATAACAATTTAAAATTGTAAACTAGCTCGCATTGTTCTAATTACTTCAACCTCAGGGTCACCACTAGCTCTGAGTTAATACGATTTTTATAATTAATATCTGAAAAATGTTATTTAGAAGCCTAAAACTATTTGTGTTTAAATGATATCATTCGTAACATAAAAATACAGCTCGGGAACACAATGGCTTGCGCCTCAATCTGCAATTGCAGAGTGTAGTATCAAAAGAGAAAGGTAATCAGGAGATGGCCGAAAATTTATTATTTCTGCTCTGCAACGTGATATATGATTTCGTTGTACGTTTAAGAAGGCATATTGAACCGTTTCCCTACTTTAAGCTGACATGAGCCATCCACAAAGGTAGACAATATTTTATGTGGCTCTAGGGAAGTCATAAATAAATTGTCATTAATGCGATTGTTACCATTCGCGGTAAGCTAAATGTACCGCTTGCGAGTCTCAAATTCCGCTCTCTTTATGTATTGTAATCTTTAGGTAGACAACAATACAAATGATTGTCAAAATTTTCCGTTTGTCTCTAATCCGGCAATTCAGCAATAGCTAGCAAACAGATGTAAAATTGACATACGAGATACAGACTACAAATATGGTCAATATCGCTATTTTTAGATTTGATAATCGTAATAAATGCCGACGATTGTTACGAACGCTAGAACATGAATGATGGGATTTCGTGATAATTGCACACATGGTAGACGATCATAACATCGTTTTGAACTCCACCGAGGGGTCAGGTCACAAAGGAGTAAGAACTCAAGAATTATCTGGACAATACATTGAAATGAAATGACGCATTTAATCACGAAAGGTTCCCGTGCTAAATTTAAATAACAATTTTAATCTCTGCGGGGTCATAGTATCTCCACACGATGACAATAATATACGAGACATACAGTCGAGAAAACAGTATTGGCTATTTATCGTCAAACCGGATAGCGTTTGTTAACGTGTTTCAGAGATAACAGAAATGAAAACATATGAAATAAATTAAGAACCGTATTTACTATACGATATTAAAATGATTTACCGCCAGTTGAGAGTCGTAGCCTCGTAGCGACATGAAACCTAGGAGGGCGGAGATAAAAAAAACTTCTCCAAACACAATCGTATATACATACTACGAAGGGTTATCAAAAATATGAATAGCGTGTTCAGGACACTTATATTCTTTTGGAAAAATAAAAATACAATATGAAAGGGTTTCTTTCATTCATATACTATTACTGCTGCGTTTAGACATAAAAATTTAATGAAAACTATTTTTGAAAAGTTCGCAATCCGAGAAAATTAAATTCTCGTTCTCCATGAACTTTGTTTGATCCGATGCAAGTAAAATTAAATATCATTCATATTGAAACAATATATCGTAAATAAATAATATAATGTTATTGCCATGTCAATATTAATTTACGTATTTGCATTCATATATTACATAACATTAATAGCTTATTATCACTCATTGTGATATTTTCTTTACTTAAACTCAAATTTATTTTTAAAGTGTCGACGCAATGTGCATTGTTACAGCAACGGTGTCTTAAATCGATAATTTTATACATTTTAGTGTGCAATAAAATTTTAGATAGATAAGAAATGTATTCATATGATCGGCACAAGAATTAAAGAAAATTAACGAATCTAATAATAATTACAAAGAAAATAACAAAAGGTACCTACCTATAAATGTGCCACAACTATAAAATATGGCAACAGCTCAGGGATGCTTTTGCTCAGAGAGCAAAACACGGATTTTCAGCTGTTCTGGCGCTACTTTTCACACAACCACAACGAGCTACATCAATGAAGGAGAAGTAATATTCAATAATATTGATACTACGCCAATATACAAATATAAAAGAATAAACATAAATCATCTAGCAGTTAAATGCTTATAAAAAAATATATTAAAATATAAAAGAACTTCAATACTTACTTATATTATTACAAAGATAATCTTACAAATAAATAAAATATCCAAAAAACACAACATAGTAAAATAGAAAAGCCCAACCTACTCATATTAAGTTCCACCACCAATCCCTCACTTCACATCAGTAACTTGTTTTTCTAGTAAAAACAATTTAATATATTTTCTTAAAAGTATTTAAGTGTTAGCCTGTCTATATAACAAGAAGAGGAGGGATGTTAACCGCCAAGCAAGAAAATCTGGAGCCAATACACTAAAACTTTATTTTATCGAGTTCTACCTGCCTGCTTTAGATAATACGTCGCTTGCTCCCACCAATCCGTACTGGGTTATGGAGCTTTCTTCCTGTATTTCTATCCTTAAATAGCAATGATTTCTGTAAATATCTTCTTAAGTTTTGCTTTTATTTTCAAATTTTCAATTGAGGACGTCTCTTTCATAAGTTTCCATTTCTAAAAGATTGTTTTAAATTTAATTAGTTGTTTCTTGCAAAAGACAAGCAGAATGAAAGCTTCTTCATAATTTTGTTATGTCTGAATTCTAAAGACATTCATAAAGAGTAATTAGAATAATAAGTTTATTTGAGTTATTTAATAAAAAAATGGTCAAATGCAAATCAGAGTAAGTGTTTCGTCCAAGGTTCCATCGACAAGGTTAAACATACACTCGCGAACATCAGAAACAATAAGTATAGGTTGCTTATTTATTGAAATAATAAATAGATTTTAGGAACTTCGACCAAAGAAAGGGACTTTAGATGTTTTGTTATAACAAGACGTTATGTTTCTCTTAAAATCCAAATTCGATGATGTAACTTGAACTTCGTCATGTAATTTGTATCCTACTCTAGAACAACCAAAAAAACCCTTGTACCTAAGTTAGAGTAGGATGGACAACGATGACGATTACTATAAACTGAAAGTGAGCTTTAAGAACAGGGCCCAGATTTTACGAGCTACCATGTCAATTGGTGTAAAGTGCGATTAGTAATCAATACCGCACAGTACAGTAAATTAAATTAGGTAGTTCTAGGGGCACTTGGGATTTCGCTGAACTGAAACTTGCGCGGCCTTAGCATAGTTGCATCCGCTGCTATCTTCACATATCACAACAGCCATAAAATTTGAAACACACTTTAACATTTCATAGAGAAAGCATACAACTTAAGTTATTGTGAAATAGAAATAAATGCTAAGTAAAGGCTCATCACTACATAGTATAAAGCAAAGTCGCTTCCCGCTGTCTGTCCCTATGTATGCTTAGATCTTTAAAACTACGCAACGGATTTTGATGTGGTTTTTTAATAGATAGAGTGATTCAAGAAGAAAGTTTATATATATAATACATGCATAATATAGTAGAGAAACAGTGATAATTTTAGAGGCTTTTAATGTAAATAAACACATTTTTTGCGCTTACATTGCAAACGCTGGCTGAACCCTACGAGATAGATCAAAATAATGTACTACAGTATTGTACCCCTTAAAAAGGTCTACAAAAAAGTCCGCGGTGGTATATGCCTATCTCTTCGGGATAACCCACAATTACCATTTTTTATCCTATACTTTTTACGAGAAATAATAATAGATTATTATTTACGAAGCGATTTTCAGCAATATAACATTCATCCTTATTCAATTAAGTATCTAACATTGTGCATTTAATATAGACGAATTTGGCCCTTTCACGCATGTAATTTAAATGTTATTCTTTAAATCTTAAATAGAAAGATTTTAAAATCCCCTCAAATTATGTAAACCTAGATGTCACCCTACGGCCTTCCGAAGCACGGAGGAACTCGAGATAGAAGATTGTTAGTCACCCATCCAATGACCGACCACTGCGAAAGTTGCTTAAGTTCAACGATCGCAGCCGAACGTGCTCACCACCTGCGCCATCGAGCTCCTCATATTATCACAGTAAAATAACACTACCTTTTGGTGGTGTTGTGTTTCTGTCAGTTAGTATGGATAAGTGATATTTTTGGTATCGCAAGCGTCGATGCCATAGTGGCAGCTTACCATCAAGCAGGCGCAACGCTTGTTTGCCACCCTTATAAAAAGCAGCCAAGTGCGAGTCGGACTCGCCCATTATTATAAAAGTACTTGTAGTTCGTTGTAACTTTGATCGATGTTTTAATAATAGTGTATTTTTTTTTAATTAATTAATTATTAAAAAACACTTCTTACTAGATCTCGTTCAGACCAATTTTCGGTGGAAGTTTGCATGGTAATGTACATCATATATTTTTTTTAGTTTTATCATTCTCTTATTTAAGTTACACGGACACACATTTTACCACTTTGGATGTGTCTCTCGCGTAAACTATTCAGTTTAGAAAAAAATGATATTAGAAACTTCAATTTCATTTTTGAAGACCTATCCATAGATACCCCAATCGTCCCATACGTTTGGGGTATCTATGGATATTTTTTTTAATTTCAATTCTAAGTATGGGGAACCCCCAAAATTTATTGTTTTTTTTTTCTATTTTTGTGTGAAAATCTTAATGTGGTTCACAGAATACATCTACTTACCAAGTTTCAACAGTATATTTCTTAAAGTTTCCGAAATAAGTAGCGGTGACATACGGACGGACAGAATCTCGAAGGGTTCCGTTTTTGCCATTTGGCTAAGGAACCCAAAAAAAAGAGGTCGAAAATTCTACAGAATTACCAAACAAATGACTGTCATGATGCCTCTATAGAATAATATAAAGTAAAC